GGGGGGGTTGTCTGCCTTTGGCTAAGTGTGTTGTGTCAACCCTGCCATTTAAGGTTGCACAACTGTAGTTGATACGTTTATATGTTTGGGTTTTTAAAATATTTTTTAATGAAAAGTTTTAACTACAATAATAAAAGGTAATGCAAACTAAAAAGAACAATAGGAAGAGAGAATAAAAGGTGCAAGGAAACAAAAAAAGGAGAGAAAAAAACCTAAGAAAGCAACTTCCCACCCCCATCACAAGTATAAACAATTTCATTCTGTTCACATCCTCTTAATTAACAAATATAAAACTCTTCATCCCATAACTCAATTCTTAACTATAGGCAAATCCAATAAGCAATGTCTTTTTCAATCCAGGTGTCAGCAAAAAATCCAGAGAGCCCTAAAATAACAACATTATTTAACAAATATAAAACTCATCACTCCATATCTCAGTTCTTAACTGTAAACAAACCCAATATATAACATTTTTCCAGTCCAGAGGTCAGCAAGTCCGGAAAGAACCACCCAAAATAACATGCCCCATTTTAACCCTGATCAAATAAGCCAACTTTATGTTCCTTCCATTTGCATAAAACAATCTTGTTCTTTAACCCATTCAAATGATTACTGACCCTTTTCTCAAGGTTTATAGGTTTGAATAATGTGCTAACCCTGCCCATTATGGCTTGCTCAACAAGCCATGCTTAGGCAAACTATGTCCTTGGACATATGAACCCAGTATTGATTATCCTAAAACAGCAGCAACATTGTTATACCCCCCCATCCCCTCTCTGTGATTTCTTAGGGCCAGATTGTACAGAACAAAGTGTTGAGACACCTGAGATACCCAGAGTTATATTGTTTACTAAAGCAAAAATTGACTGGTACACTGGAAAGCAGAGACTTATGAAAGCTTTTATTAATTGTCAGTATATAATGTTTATAGGCACACTCAAATAAATTCCTTCTTTTAGAAGCATACAATCTAGAATAGCCAATGTATTCTTATTGAACTCCTGTGATTTAATGAACACATTAGACTATAAATTAATGATAATGGCTGGATTTGCACAACATGCTAAATCACAAGCTAGCTATTTTCTTGTTAAGTTTTAGAGGATGTTCATATTCCTTAGTGCCAATCAAGTTGCTGTTGTTTTCCTTTATTCCAATCCTTCAGAATTTGGGGGTGCAACTCAGAAAGGGTATTCTTCCATATTTGCTATAAAACATGACCTGTACATGATTGGAGGGCAGCTTCTAGTCGACCTTTGCTGGTATCAAAAGAGTTAGCAAATTTGAAAAAGTCCAGTGTCTTAGTCTTTACATGCTACGTCAATATATGATTTGCTTGTTTCTAGCTTAATGCAATATATATGAACTGTGGTTTTTATACTATGGTTAATAGGTTTGTGTAAAATTGTGGTTTTTTCAATAAACAGTGGCTAAACAAATATGAATTAGTGTGCTGCATGAACACAGAGTTAAAGGCTGGCTTAGCATTCTAATTTAAAATGTGCTTAGTTTGCAGTTCAGTGAGTTGTGCAAACAGCCAAATTCTTCCCAGATTATGAGCAATTTATATTTAGGACAAGAGTCACTATGTGTCTTTGGAACAAAGTAAGTTATCAACGACAATAATGGAAAGATCCACTCAAAATCTTTTCAGGGAAAATTGGTGATTTTGTCCTTTCTGCTCAAGGAGGGAAATAAGAGCCCAGAGAAAGGGTAGAGACAGATGCTGATAGACCCTATTACCCGTAAGCAAGTCTTTGGTTATGCTGCTTAGAGTTAACGTATTGTCCATAACATCTGGAGGTTCATAGCTTCCCGTAGTGAATGAATGGCCCAAGAAAAATTTGCTTATACCTCAAAGAGAATAAGGGTTACAAAATTCACTCACAGCATACCACCTTAGAATTGTTGGGAGTCAGGCAGTGTACAAACATAAATAATAATAATAATCACTACCACCACCATAGGGACAGGATTTCTTACCTGAACTCACATTTGCAGAGCCACACAGCATCTGCTACACACAATGAAAAATATTTCCAAGTGGTCCTTAGGTTCAGTAAGATATAAAAACTGATACTTTGGAAACCATTTGCCATCCATCATTATGACAGCAAACTTAACCTATGTTTTGCAAAATGCTAATCAAGTGCTGCACTTTGAACCAACTTTTTAAGGCTTCCTCATTTATATCCCTTCATTATCCAGTAGTGCTCTTGTTTCCTTAAGAAACTGAAGAGCATTAACTATCTGCTCAGTTTCCTGGTTCATCTACTCACCTTAATTATTTGTTATGACATTGTTTTATCACTATTCTGAATAAACACTTGTTTATCCAAATACTAAGCATAATGCTTGTTTCACTTTGGCTTAATGTGATGTGTGAACCAAGACTTATTCTCTCTCTCTCTCTCTCATAAAAAATGGGGAACCTGCATAATCTGCTACAAGCAAGGCGCAAGGGGAAAAAGAGTTGTAGAAAGAGGTGATTATGGAAATGTATTTGAAATTTGCCAGCTGCCAAATCTAAATTGGTTGCTAGAGACAGCATGATGAGATACTACATAAAAGTCCAAAATGTTTCCAGACTCTTTCAGATGTTGATTTTTCATGCATCCAATTTAGAATTTAGGATTAAAGAGCCCACTTGGCACCCACAGAATGTATTTCTTTCACCATTAAATATCAGAGCTATCTCTACACTTCAACATCATTCATATATTGTATTAAGCAATAATGTGGCTTATATGGTTTGGGTTTAGTGTAGTTTCTGAATCCAGCTACTGCCTTGGAATTCATCAGATTCTGAGATTCAGTGAAGTACAAATCACATTGGTAAAACCAATGCCTTCCCTTTAATTATGGGAAGAAATAGAAATGTCATACTCTAACCCAGATTTAGACCATTTTCAGGACTGGTGGACAAATGTAGAAATTTGAAAGCATATTATAGGCTGCCTTAGTGGACATGGCCAGTCATACTTCTGAAATGTGAAATGATGAGGCTCCTTTCTCCTGTATTTCCTCTAGTCCCCCAGAAAGTTCCCTACCATTTCCAACTTTTTCCATATGGGTGGACACACTTCTAAACAAAGCACTGGGCTGCAGCTAGTCATCTTTTTTTAAAAAAAAGAAGCCTATGGAACTTACCGGGGACTCAGAAGAATTGTGCAAAATAAAGATAAGTTGACATTTTATCTTGCAATATGCTAGCTTCCCATTTATTATTTTTTTACTAAAAGAATAAATATATAATTCAGGTAGAACAGGGTGCCATAGATGAGCACATTGATAAAGGCACTATACTGCCTAACCATGTTCTAATCCTTCCGTACTTTCTCACTTTCATCTCTTCCTTTTAAACAGAGGAGGCATATTCTTCAGAAGTTGCACAAGTTCTTCAAAAACAGAGGTGTGAAAACACACATATATTCAATACCCAATACCTCTGGTAATTTGCAGACTACTTTAACTTTACAAGAAGGGACAAAAGGTTGATATGCTTCATTCCTATTCTCAAAGCTGATCTCCTCTTCATGCACAAGTTCCTTCTTTGCAGAGGAAGGATAATTAATAAATTAAGGAATGAACTAAGACGCTGGTAATAAAGCCAGGGAGAAAAAAATGAGTTCAAGTATATTTAAGCTGTTGTCTCTTCTTTCTTTCGTAGTTTTTATAAATGACTGTCTTACAAAATTTAGCAGACTTGAAGCCTCCTTTTGTGAGAGTTCAGTAATACTCTCTTCCCCTCTCTTATTAGCATTACTTAAACTACAAAACAAACTATTTAAATATTTCTTTTAAAAGAGGACCCCTGTGAAATAAAACTTTATTCAATTTGTTTAATATCTAATGACAAAATAGTTTAAATCCCACATAGTATTGCCATTTCTGATGTAAAATATCATAAATGATAGTTATATAAAAATCAAAAATTAAAATGTCTTTTAGATTGCAGACTGCATTCAAAAGGAACCTGTGCATTTTCACGCTCTGACAAATAGGTTTTAGCACATGCTGTTTTAAAGAGCAGCTTAACGTTATTGCATCAGTGATAAAAGCATAATCAAGAAAATACATTTAGAAATTTAACCCTCAAGTTTCTTCCCATTCAACTCACTGCAAAAAGTGCCCATTATATAGAAATGATCAAATGCCATTAGAGCATTTATAAAATGCAGCAATGCCATAAGACTGCAAAGTGGGAGAAGCTCCAGTTCCTAGTTTCCCCAGCATATACAAATAGTAAATAATATTTAATAGATATAATCCTCTAAAAGTCTTCTACCTTGCTGGCGGGAGGGGAAGTGAATTGCACAGTTATTTAGACCCTGGTTCCTTGTCAACTTTATACAGTTAGCAGCTACAGAGACACAGAGAAATACTGAAGGAAGGTGACACAACCAGAAAAGCACACTGAAATCTAGAGAAAGCTGCTAAAACATCTAGGCATCTGTCTGAAAAGGAAAAGAAATCTCAATGCATACACCCTCTTCCAAACCAGCAAGCATGATTTATGTGGAGAAATAGTGAATATAGTAAACCTATATGGAGAAATGAGTACATACAACTCAGCTGTGTGGGAGATAACAGATGACTTCCAGCAACAGGGTAATGTATGAAGAATCATGTATCTGATCCCACAGAGATCTTCGTTCTCATGCAGCAACTTGCACAAAGACACACTGATGTGCCCCAAATTCTGTGACAGGTCAGCTTAACAGGTAGACTTTACATTGTTTTAAAATAATGGTATTGTTAATAATCATCCACCCCAAGGCAAATACTTTTGCGTGCCATTCCCCTGTTGCCTGCATATTGACAGCAGATATAAAAGAGATGCTTATGTGCATGCACTTTGACTATTGAAATTACTATCTTGTAGATTTATTTCTGCTTATCCCGAACACATGTTCAGCGGTTTTCCTAGAAGAATTCTCAGCATAATAGTTTGAAAAAGTGTAAGCCACAAAATAATACTGGCCTAGCACGTTACTATTACAAGAAAGCATGAAATCCACATATATTCCATGGATAATTGCTAGATGTCAATAGTGCTGATTGTACCGATTGTGAAAGAACCAGGTTTTTTTCCTAACGTGGTTATTAGCTTTTCTCTTTATTTTGCCCACATTTCTAAATATAATCAAAGTGCTTATGCATTGCTGGCGCATTCTAGGAAGTGGTGTGTGTGAGAGAGAATGCCTGTATGTACATGTTTTTGTATATATGTGTGTAAGTGTGTATATATATAGATGCACACCTATCCTTTACCTAATCAAAGGATCTGAAAAAAATGTTGCAAAGTGCTAGAACTCCTTCCAAAGCAAGTAGGAAAAAATCCAACAATATGGAAGACAATTGTAAAGCTCTCTATATACACGTCTGCATGTTATATAAAACCAGAACGGGCTGCACCATGAAAATATTTATTATTAGCAGTCCTACTCATCAAAGAGGATTGAAGTAGGTTCAGGATTGCAATCCAAATGTGGATTAAAATGCATTAGTTTTGTTGGTGAATAAGTATAACTTTGCTGTTTATGGGGTCATTGGTTGAAGCAAACCAGTACATAAACACATTTTTAAAAGTTGCATTAGCAGTGCTACCAATGGAGTTTTCCAAGAACAACTTCGCCACATATACACATAGAGGGGGAAACCTTTCAGTCATAATCCCATGAGCAGTAACAGTTAGTGTCAAAAGTGGTTCTTAAGTGGCCAATGATTAAGGTCAGGAATATAATTAGCTCATTGTAGGCAGCAAATTGCAATTCTATGGTTGGCACCAAAAAAGAAATTTCTTCCAACTAAGTTTTTCACATGGCTTTCACCTTGATCTGTTTCATTTTCATTTGTTTCTTTTCAAGTTTCTTCTGTTCACGACGCAAAGCAGCCTCCTATAGGGAAAAAATTATCGATTTTGTGGGATTATTAAATTCTATGTTTGATTGCAAAGCAAAATCAAAGCCACCAAGAAAATTTAGCAGATTGTATAGTTTTATAAAGAAAATACTAATGACTCTTCCACACAATAATTTGCAACTGCTACATTGTAACTGTGGATGGATGATCAAAATACCTCTCCTTCAACTAATGCTTTCACTGCAAGGAAAAATGGATCTGCTTCCTAATGGATCTCTTCTTGTAAATACGGAGGTATTCAAGCACTGAACAAGATACCATTTCCTCAGGCTATGAGGAAAGGTTAAACTATAATTTCCTAAGGAGGTGAAACTGCCCCTTAAATCCCCTGCTTGACTGAAAGCCATAAAACAGGGCTATGCTGCTACTAAAAGAACTCTGCAACACAGAGATGCTGGTCTTACACAGTGCTAACAATAATGGGATTTGATGGGTTTTGGCTTAATGTGACAATGTAAATTAGACCCAATGTTTTCTGAGCCACGATTTATAATTTGTGAGTGAACAAGGTGATTACAGCTTATCGAACAGACTGTTCAATAACACATGATCCTAGCCAGAGAATTTGTCCATATAAAGCAAGATTACAAGCCATTACCTTACATCAAAAAACAGAAAATTGATCCTCTTTAAGCTCGAAAGGAATTACTGCACTGTCCCCCAAACAAATGAACCATGAAGCAACTGCCTTCCTCCCTCTCCAGAGATAAGATGGGCTGACAATGTCAGTTGCCACCCTATACAGAGAAATTTAATACTGTTATTGGAGGCTTCTACAGAGAGCTTGCCCAAAACAACCGTGGCTAAGACAAAGGGTTCTCCTTATAAAGTCATGTGAATTTGTGATCTGAAGACCAGTTAATGCTTCTAAATACATTAAAGCTACTGCACTGCAAACAGTATGGGCTGAGACCCCATCTGACATGGTTAGGCCGAATCATAGGATGTACATTTTTCCTCCCAGACTGGAAAGTTTATTTGTTTATAATACTGTATTTACCACTGGAATCCGCAAAAGACTCCTAGTGATTTACAACATACTTTCCAGCCATCATAGGAAGGCATGTTATTTATCACTATGATGGACTATCAGTGCTTGAGATCTTTGTATGGAAAAGGAGAGACACTATCACTGTCTGTTAAGTTTGGGGGAACTTAAAGAAACATTCTGGGAAAATAACATGTCAGCAGGTGACACTGGAATGTTCTGTGTGTAGGTTTTTCTGGGGAGGGATTATATATTTTTTGTAGCACTAGTGTTTTGTTTTGTTTATATGCACGTAGGTAATGATACCTGTACATTTTTTTTTGGTTAGGTATATTTTGCCTATGGTTGTCAGGGGTGGTGATGGTATTATTTTACTGTGTGAAATAAGATATTCTGAAGGAGCAGATTTATAGTTTGATATTCGGAGCTCAATTTCTAATGCAAGCTGCTGGCCCCATGTCAATCATGTTGTGGTAATGATCATAGTAGTTTCCCTATGAAAAGTCTGAGTGCACAGTGTCTCATTGGGAACCTCTTGGTGAGTCTGGGTAAGTCTCCCTTGGATATTAAACGGACCTGTGACAAGCCCCAAAGGCTGACTGTGATTCTTCTAATATAACAAGTTTATTTCAATTGAACAAATTACCTCTAGACGTCGCTGCTTTTCTGGATCTTCCTCATTCATGATTCTCTCCTTCTCCGCTCGTTTCTTCTCTTCCCGGCGGGACTGGGCAGCCTCTTGTCTTTGAACATGAGTCAGTTTCAGAAAATTCTCTTCTACACGTGCTCTATTTTTATCTGCTTTCTGTTTGCCCTTTGTCCCAAAGCAAGAAGAGATGCAAACAACTTAGTCAATATGCATAAACACATAATAAAGGGATCAACAACTTTTTCAGATGATAGGAACCATTGTGAGATTTCCCATAACAGTCTGGGCATCAAAAGTTAAATCTAAAAAGTTACTTATAAGTGTCCCAAATGTTTTGATATTTCATGTAAGAATATAAAGCTCTTGTGAGATTCGGTTATCTTGCAAGATTTCAGCCATTTTTAAAAAATGTTCTATTTTCTTTTTATTTTAGAAGTGAGTTGGTGCCATCTAGTGGAGTCATGAACAAAGGTTTGCCAACAGTTGACATAATATATCAAGCAATATCACAATGAACTAACTGCAAAGATAAAATCTTGGATATTTGTGTGTTAAATTCTGAACCTAAACTAGTTTAAGGCTCCTAAAACACATTTGTCTATTAAAATGCTTGTGTGAGACAACATTGATGACTTTTTATCATCTTATCATTTATCATTTGCTGATAGCTTGTTCTGGAGTCCCAAGCCAGTTGTTCCATGCACAGGGAATGGGGTGGGCAGCTCATATTTAGGTTCCCAACCCCCTTCCGGCAGCTTTTAGACCTCCTGCCTCCGTCCAAGATTTGACTGATTTTCACTGTAAAATGAAAGAAACTAGATACTTCAGGCATCTGACAAACTTAATACAAGTATAATCCTAAAGCCCCCAACCCATTCATATTGTGGGAAAATGGACCAAAAACCCATTGCAGTCCTCTGTAGTAATGATGATGATGATCATGATGCACTTCCCAATACCCAAAGTTTTCCAAGCAAAATCCAGGTACTGGTTTAATTTCAATAGTCCTTCCCTAGCTTTTCTCAACCAAACACAAATCAGATATGCTGAAGAACAAGTTCCTTCACCCACAAATTGCAGCTGTAGCCTAAACGTATCTGGAGTGTGCCAGACTAGAAATTTTAGGACTTGCAACCCCAATACACCTAGAGAGTGCAAAGTAGGGGAAAGTGGTCTAAAGAACTACAGTCTTTCTGGTTTCCATACCTACCTGATTCTAAGTCACAAATAATACTAATCATCCACTATTTGTACCTTTTACATTTTTTTCCCACCCATATGCACACACATATATCCAATCTCTCATGCATTTGATGCAAAGGACTGGAATCCACGAAAGCTTATGTTATACTAAATCCATCTGTCCTTAAGGTTTCACAAGAACCTTAAAGAAATAATAGAAATAATAACTTCTCTTTGGAAGTGATCCAAAAGACATTGTATATATGAACTTTCAAAAACATTTATCCTGTATCAATGACTCCCAAACAAACTCAGCAGCCATAAGACAAGAGAACACATACTCTCATGGAGTGGAAATTAACTCAGGAATAGCATAAGGAACAGGAATTGAAAAGTATTTTTTCAAATTGAAGAGACATTCAAATAGGATTTTGTAATTTGTTTATAAATGATCTGGAGTGAGGATAAAGCACTGAGGTGACCACGTTTAATGATAGTAATCAGAGTGGTAAAATAAAAACATGATTGCAAATATTCCTAAAGGATCTCTCCAAACCAGGCAAGTAAGTGTCAAAATGACAAATGGAGCCCAAGATAAACAAGTGCAAAATTATGTACAAGACAAACAAACCTCCAAGCTTCACAAATATATTAATGAGCTGTGGCTGGCAGATTAAGAAAGAGACCTTAAAATCCTAGTGGACAGCTCAATGAAAATGTAAAAAAGGAAAATACCAGGTTAGAATCAATGGGAAGGGAATGTAAAATAAAATGAAGCAGCCAGTATAATAATGCCCTTATATAAATCTGTGATGAGGATGTACCTGCAAAACTGCATAGTTCTGATCATGACATCAAAAAAAAAAAAAGAATTTTGTAGAGCTGAAAAGATCCAAAACTGAAAACAAAATGATTACAAGAAAAGCAACTGCTTCACTACTGAATCTGGGGGTTTTCATCCTGGGGTGAAGACAGGTAAGGGAAGATATAAATAGAGTTGTATAGTACAGACAGTGGGGACAGAGATCGTTTTTTCTCCCTCTCTCACAATGTTGTAACTCAGGGCATTCTTTAACATTAATCCAATGAGACGAACAGTAATAAAACTATTTAGAGAATGCATATTTAACTGTGGCATTTGTTGTCATTACATGTGATGATAGCCACCAATTCAAATGATTTTAAAGGAGACTGTCCACTTTTGTGACGTTTCTGAATGCATCTAGCTGTCTACTGGACACCAAATGCTGGATCAGTTAGGCTGGTTGCCTGATCCAGCATGAGCACACTCATGTCACCTAAATGGAAGTGGTGGTAGAGCAGAAGGGAACAGAAGCAATTGTATCTGTGAGAGAATTGCATGGATTTGTAAACATTTTCATTATATGAGTCATGCATATATAATTAACATAATAACACATTTGGGTTAACATAAAACTTACTTCTCTATTCAGACGAAACTTTTTTGCTTTGTCAATGGAATAAATAACCATGTTCATCAGAGGCAGTAGAGCTTCCATGTCTTTTGGGGAAGTGTTACCTGACCCCGGTACTATAAATAAAAAGGATTAAAAAGGACATTTACCTTCAGTCTTACTTGTGAGTTAAAACAGATAGAGCTGTACAAACAGAGCCAGTATGGCATAGCAGTTAAGATGCTCGACTACCAGTGCCACTCGTTCCTTACGTATGGAAGTCAGGTGGGTGAACCAGTCACCCCCTCTCAGCCCTAAATCAGCATCAGACTCTGTGACAAGCTGGTTGAGAAACAAAACTCATTGCATCATACCCTGATAAGCTTCACTATAAGAACTAGGCAGGTGTGGCACAAAACAGACCCTGCAACTATGTGAGACAAATATGATGAAGGACAACTCTAACAAGGCAAACTCTGTCAATCAAATCAAAGTTGTGGTTAATAAACTCACTTCATCATTCTAATCAGCATATACCTGTAGAATTCCTGATAGTTTCACTACGATACTTACATGGTAGAAATTCCTATACAGTACAATTCACGATTATAGCAATTAAGAGATATTTATTTTTATCTATTTATTATTAAATTTTTACGCACCTTTCTATTTGCATAAGCAGTCAAAGCAGCTTACAGTATCTTTAAATATTCAACAATTAAGAGTCATGTTTCTGCTAAAAGATTCCCATAAACCTACTATCTTTCCTTTTTTAAAACTATATTGATTTTCAAAGACAAAGTTGAACTATGCTGCACCACTGAAATAATTCCCCATCCCACCCACCCCCTTATGCCAAATTACAATAGGAGCTAAACAACTGTTAGAAATAGATCCGTTAATCATAAATTACAAGTTATATCCTGATACTGAAATAAGCTCTCAGGGGCAAAATTCTACATTCCCTACGGAAAACTATTCAAAATCAGAAGCCCATTCTTACCATTAAAAGTAAACAGCAGTGTCTTTTTAG